CTAGGCGTGGTAGAGGATGTGCCAAGGTCATTAAAGAGTGGGGTACTGGTAAAAAGCTAGACATAGAATTTGATGGAAATTACTGCCCAATAGGGGATAACGTGGCTAAGTTAACTACTCAACTTGGCATTGTTGTGCGGAATGGTAACATTGTTCCTCTTACTTTTCTTGACTGGAACAATGTGCCTGATGATATTATTGATGCTATCTGGAAGGATGTAAAGGTAAAAGTATATTTTTGTCCACAAATTCGAATTCCAAAATTGTGTTATTATTATTTAAACTTTGAAATTGTGTTTTATAGGACAATGTGAATATATGTCCAGAGGAGTACAAGCCAATCTGCATGAAAAACTGCAACAGCATATGGAAGGATCACAAGAACAAGCTTAAGGCTAAGTATTTCAAGCCTAGAAGTTCTGATCCTAATCTGAAGGATGATGTTCCTATGCACATTGTGCCAAGCTAGTGGGAAGAACTTGTGGAGTATTAGCGCACTTCCGATGCTGAGGTATACAAATAAGTTATATTTATGATATGTAAACATACAAATCATATTTATATACTCACATTTGTCAAACCTGTTATAGAAAATTGCGGCATGAGGTTTACATTTTATTGTTTTATTTTTGTATATAAATAAACATTGTATATTTAGATTCTAATTTTCATATTTCTAAAAAAAATGCAGATGACCAGTAAGGGGGAGTCTACTGATAAGATGAATGTTTTGGCTTATGACACGTAGAGTAGATGACCCAGAGGTTATTCAGACCTTGGTAGTTTCCAAACACCTTTGATTGTATTTAAAGTTTATTTTTTGGGTGTCAACCATCTTAATTTGGCATATACTTGTATGTCTTATTCAATACAGGATGAGTTTAATCGTCAACTCTCTATGCTACCGGAGGATGGTCGGACTTTAGAGGCTAGGAATGCCATTTTCCATGAGTTGATAGGTCATGACGGACATGGATATTGTCGCACATACGGGAGAATTGTGCCTCGGAGAGCGGTGTACAAAGATGGTGCTGGGCCATCACAGTCAACACCCCAGCCATCAACTATTGATCAGATCACGCAGAAGGTTCGTGCAGAGCTAAGGGATGAGTTGAGGGAGGAGCTGCGAGCAGAGTTCTCTACACATTTACAGCAGATGAGAGCTGAGATGATGGCCTTAGTGTCACAGGGGGCGAGTGTGGATCCCAACAGACAGGTTCAATATGAATTAAATTGTTTGATAGTTCAATTTTCACACAAGATTATGTATAAAATTCGAAAATGATTAACACATTATCTATTGACTATCATAGGTTCCTGATGCATCGAGTGCCCACCGGGCATTTAGGGAATCTGCAGAAGACGAGAATCCATATACACCACCACCAGAAGATCAGGTATAAAATGTATCTTTGCATAATTTAGACATTCTAAGTTAAAGAGAGACTTGTGGGAGAAGACGGGGCTCGAATCGGGTTCCCGGTTTGGGAGTTAGAGCCGGATTTTACTTTGGGCACACTAGTTCCTTAAGAAACTTGAATTTGAGGAGTTAACGCCCCAAAATCACCAAACAGCATCGGTTTAACACGAAACTTGGCACACACGACCGCCTAGAAACGAGAGACTTGTGGGAGAAGACGGGGCTCGAATCGGGTTCCCGGTTTGGGAGTTAGAGCCGGATTTCACTTTAGGCAAACTAATTCCTCTAGTCAAAATTATTTACTAAACTATCTTTCTAATTATATAGTAATCAATTTTTTTTTATATTTTTCTATAATTAAAATATTAACACATATATTGTTATTAATTATTTTTATTTTGTTTTTTTCAGATATTTCTTGAGTAGCAGTTTGCTTCGTGTGGAATGTGGGCGCGTAAAGATTATGACCAACTTCTGTTTTTGTAACTCACGAAAGAATCAAGACGAAAACTTTTGGTTTTGATTTTGATTTATGTTATTTAAATTTGTGACCAACATTATGTATGTATTATGTGACCAACATTAGGAATTTTTATCATTTGCCAACTTTTGTTTATGTATGGATTTATATTATTATGTAATTTTTTGATTTTTTTTAAGCTATTTTTCACTTGCCAACATTAGTTATTTTATTTATGTGTTTATATTATTATGTCATTTTCCAACATTACAGGTTATTTTTATATTTTAAATAATTGTAAAACAGGGTTTTTTTTTTTAAATTTTTTTTGAGACGGCAGAACACTCTGTCGCAAAAAAAAAAAAATTGTGCCAGGCTTTTTGCGACGGCAGCCATACCGTCGCAAAAGGTGTGGAATTTATTTGAGAAACAAGGCTTTAGTGACGGTGCAATTGCCGTCGCCAATAGTCATTAACGCCGACATTTTTTGCGACGGAAATTTGCCGTCGCAAAAATCTATTTTAGCGACGGAAAGCTTGTGTCTTCGCAAAAAAGCCCAGATCTTCATCCATTATCGGCGACAGAAATTTTCCGTCGCAAAAACAATGGCGACGGCAAGTGCCGTCGCTAAAGGTCTTTTGCAACCCCCCTTGTTGCGATCCCTACTTGCCGTCGCAAAAAGAAAATTTACCGTCGCAAATAGCTTTTGAGACGGCGTTTGGATTATAATGCCGCAAAAAACAATTTTTTTTGTAGTGTTATTTTGTAATTATTTTTTCTAAGACATCACTGTCAAGTTATTTCCCCCAATAAAAAAATGGTATTTCTCCCAATAAAGAATGGTAAAGACAGATTAAAGATATGATGAGGGTGACCCTGAGTTTGGGTCTAGGTGGGAACCACTCTTTGCTTATGTGTAGTATCATCATAATGGTGGTCAATTGTAATTATAGCTTTTTACTGGCTGGCCGTGTAAAAGTTAATTTGTTAGTAGTGTACAATGGCTTCATTTGGGAAGAAATGTTGAGTTGTGTTTGGGATTTAACTACAAAAAGATAAAATAAATTTTTTAGTCTAATAAGACAAAATATCACATTCAACCTATAATCATTTTATTTTTTCTCTCACAAAAAGTCAAAAAAAAGCCAAAAAACCCTTATGAAACGAGGCTTTTTAGTAGGGGTGCAACTCGGACGGGTTCGGTCGGGTTGGGGGTCTGCCCAAGCCCGACCCGAATTGTATTTGGCAGTGCCCAAGCCTGCCCAAGCCCGACCATGAACCCGAGCATTGCTGCCCAAGCCCGGCCCGAGCTTTGTATTTTGAACTCGGGTTAGCCCGAATTGCCCGAGTCCAGAAACCTGTAGGTAGATCTAAGGGTAGACATAAAAGATGCTAATCTAATGGTAGAAGACTAACCAAAAAAAAATAAAAAATAAAAATTAAGACTAACTCTTTTACTTAATAGAAGACTAACCAAAAAAATAAATAAAAAATAAAAATTAAGACTAACTCTTTTACTTAATTTATATATATTATATAATTTATTAAATTATATATATATATTATATATTATATAATTTATATAATATATTAAATTCAATTCGGGTTCGGGTTGCTCGGGTTGGCCATTGGTTCTGCCCAAGCCCGGCCCGAATTGCAATTCGGGCATCAAAAATTTGCCCAAGCCCGTCCAGATTACAAGATATAGTTGCCCAAGCCCTAAAAAAACTCGAGCTGGGCTCGGGTTGCTCGGGTTGAGCCCGCCCGAGTTGCACCCCTACTTTTTAGTCCCAAGTTAAAATAATTAAAAAACTAAAAAGCTAAAAAACTAACCCACTTCCCAAATGAACCCAATAGTAATTCCAACTTGTAATTCTAATGGTGCAATATAATTTAAAATAGCACAGGAATTAAATAATATAAGTTTGGAGTTAGAGATTAGTTTGCACTATAATATAACCCATGCTTAGGAACAACAATAAGTAAGGTACGGGTTGGAAGTCTCTATCCCACCCCCATTTCTGCTGCCCTACTCAAACACAAACCCAAACCAAAACCGAAACTCGCAAATGCAACTCTTACTCCCAACCCTATCCGTTCCAAAAATATGAGACACAAATGTGTCAACACTAGCCGCAGCCTTTAAATGTGTCAACACCAGCTGCAACCTTTACTTTATATATTATAATAGATATATATATATATATATAGAGAGAGAGAGAGAGGGAGAGAGAGAGAAAGGAAAAAAAACATAATAAACCTGCAAATAACTATTGGAAAATAGTATTTTCAGTGAACAGATATTAGAAAAGAAATGTCCTGAAACACATCCAACACAATTAATTATGGAATGAAGAGTGCACACATGCATTGGATAGAACATTAAACATGACCATCACATATTAAAGTACACAAACATAGAAAATCAAGCAAATTACAACGGCATCAATGCTGAGATAAACATTATTGTATGACAGCACACTGCTGGAAATCAGACTTTTAGTGGCGTTTAAAAAGCGCCGCTATATCTATCAAAAATGCCGCTAATTCCTTTTGCGGCGCTTAATACCAAATGTTGAAGATGCGGCCGTCACTATAACTCTATGGTGCTTTAAAAACGTTGCTACATGACAATAGGCTACTAACGGTAACATGACGTTACTATGCTGTTTAGCGACATTTTTAAAACGTAGCCATATCTTTGATGTTATTTAACGACGTTTTTTAAAAACGCCGTGATAGCCCCTTTTTAAAAAAAAAATTGTGCTAATTTTATGTTATTAAACTAAAAAAATACCTATAATAAAACTGAAAAAATAACACTAATATGAAATAATAACTCCCATTCACATAATAAAATCTTATCAAATGATAGTTCACAATTGTTGAGCAAAAAAAAAAACTTTCACACAAAAACCATTTGAATGACATTAAGGAGTCACCAAAATTGGATACGCCTTCATTTGAGCCAAAATAGGAATTTTAGTTCACCAAAATACGAAAACCGGTGAAATACAAGCAAAAGACACAATTAAACACTTGTTTTAACAAGATTTTAGCTTCCAAAAAGTAAATTTTATTTCTTCTCTCCCACACACCTACAAAGGGGTTTTGGGGAAGGAAGAAAGAGAAGAAAAGAAAAGGACAGTAGAATAATTACCTAGATAGATAGAATACAGACACTAGAATAATTTCTTATTTAAGCATCTACCTGTGAGTTGAGATAACATCTTGTATTATGTATCTGTGTAGCCAGTCAACATTCCCACACATATAATCAAAGATGATCCTTGAGCTGAAGCACACATTCCTAGTCAAAAACATGAAAAATGATGCACCTTATATGACTAACATAATGAATGTACAAATTCTTTTGACTGACTTGTATGCCTTGAGAAAGTTAGGCATGTCAATCACAATTTAATTGAATCTTGCATTTGACTCGTTACATTCTAATTTTTCCTAGAATCACTTGATCCTAATACTACATAGAAATCATAGAGCAACTAGATTGTAGCATGATTTGAAGGTCGTGCTCTGGACACCTAGCATTCATATTGCTTTTCTAGGTTGTGCACAAGACTTCAAGCAGTTATATTGTTTTTGAAAACTATTATCTAATTTAGGAAAATACAGATAACATGAAAAAGTATTACTGATATGGTCCAAAGCTTCTTTTAGAGAGAAAAAGTGGTAAAGGTGTTTTTAGAGTTTTGATGAATTATATTCACATTTCAGGAACTTGAGCTGATATTCTAGAAGCAACCCAAATAGAAAAGTGCTGAAGGTTTTTGCTTTTTCATTTTCAGCTTATGAGGTGGAATGTGGTACTCTCACAGAGCGATGTGGGATGCACTCACAGAAACAATAAACCAATTGAAGGAATTTCTAACACGTATTCAATTAGTTCATAAAGATAAAATTCCAATGGTGTCACATAAGAAAAACTGACAAAACTAGACATACCAACTAAATTGGTCACCAAACAAAACATATACTATGATCAGAAAGGCACAAAGAACTATCAAAAATAAGTAAACCATAGAAAATAAGAAATCAAGCCAAAAAAGTTGTATCCAAATGCTAAGAATACTACCAAATCCAGATTCTGATATTTTGTCACATATCCATGTTATAGTCATTGCACCACACACCAAAAGAAAACTCGTCACCATCACATGCTTCACCATGCAAATAGCACATAACGTAACAAAACACATGCCCTCTAGACCTCCCGATATCATATGCTAGTGTAGCACTTTGTGTATTGGTTTTATTGTTGGCCATTAAAGTTCATGAAGCTTGAGTTGAACCATGGGGGCAAACTGAAATTTGCACTCTAAATTTATGGATGAATGTATATGTAATTTAAATATATATATATACTAATGTATATGCATATTTTATAAACTAAGGTCTACAATATTATTTTTCCAATTTGAAAATATTATAAACTAATACTACTACAATAAGAGAGGTTTTGAAACTTGTGGTGATTCCCCAGCCAAAATAGAGGTTTTAAAACTATTTTCTACAATATAAACAATCCTAAATTCCATATAGCATTGCCTATATGTCACATGTACTCTGAGAGTATGTAATAAAAAGGAATAAGATTGGCATTATTAAAAAAATAAGATTTAAGTACAAGAATGGAATGAAAAAAAATTCCCAAAAAACCAATACTTGCATGTAAAAGACCTTTTTGTCACCCCAATTATGATGGAGTAGGTGCTAAGCCATTTATAACTGTAAGCATCTGAGATCAAATTCCATGGAAACAGCAGCATCTCCAATAATTCCCTAAGGCATCAGCAATATTTTCAAGTTTCAGGTTTTGTAGAAAATTTAAGTTGATAATCATAGAATTCCTCGATCAATCCTCATTCTGATTTAAAATGATTGAATAGATAGATACACATTTAATTTAAAGGCAAGCCTATCCTTTTGTACTTTTATTTTAATCTTTATTGATACTCTTTGTTGTCAATCAAAAAATAAAATAAAATGAAGATAGACTATACTATGAGAATCAATTGTGTGCTTACCACGATTGTTGACTCATAAAAGAACTTAGTTCAATGACCCTTGGCACCTGAAAAAAAAATGATGGGTGTAAGAAGAAAAAAAAACTCATTCAGCAATGAGAAGCATTTTTCAGCATTCAGCATGGCTGTTT